TCAGAACTGGCGGTCAGTTTCAGCAGCGGCTGAATCTGGACGCCAGTTCCGACTTACATACAGATTCAACTTAAGAACAAACCTACAGTCCCTATCTTGTACGTAACCCGGGGACTGCCTGTATAGGCTTGGACACCTCGGCTATGCAAGAGAGGCTGAGGCTTTGCGCACATGCCCAGTTTGCCCTTTAGCCATCCAGCTGCATGAATCCACACTAGGCCCCATAGGTCCCTTTTACCTTTTCATTTTGGTGACCAAGGCTCTCCTGGGAGCTGGAGAAATGTAGGAGAGAGACAACCCATGGCCAGGGTACTGGAAACATGGCTTGCTCATAACAGGAGAGACGAGCAGAAATAGGGGTGCCATTGGACGGGCACACCTTCCTTCTCACACTCTCTCTTTCACCTACTCTGCATCTTTCTGTACCTCTGGGTCTCTTACTCACTCTGTAGCTCTATTTCTCCCGCAGCGCCTTCTCCCCCTCCCTCCTTCAGGATTCCCCCCTCGCACACACCTGATACTCAACCCTGGCAGAGTTAATGCCTCTCGCTCAGATCAGATGTGGCACTAGGGAGGTCATGTGACAGAGGAAGGTTGCTATAAATATAGTTAAACCCTGCAATCACTGCCCCAGACGCCTTTGGGCAGGAAGAGGAGAAAGTGTGAGAGACACAAGGAGGAGGAGGAGGAGGAGGAGGGGGAGGGGGAGACAGAGAAGGAGTAGGAGTGCAAGACAGGCAGAGGCCATGCTCTGGGCCAGCTGGATCAGTGATTCAGGATTGGGTCTGGAACAGCACCATCGTCACAGCTGAGAGTGAGTTTGAGGGGGTAGGAGCAGTGTCATGGAGAGCTCAGAACATAAGACGGCGGAGACCAGATCGGACTCAACCCTGTGGGGTGGCGCTCCCCAGTATGCCTATGTTCATTTCGAGAACTGCACCAATTATGGGATCCCGTCGGAGACAGGGTGCGAGGCCAAGGGGACGGGGAATGACCTGCACTGCCTGGAGAACTCCCTCAGCCATCCGCAGGTAGGGCGATGGGGATGTTGGGGAAGCATAGATTCTGTGGCGGGCTCAGGAGAGTACCGCTGGCGGTGCTGGGGAGTATGCAGCCCTCCCAGTGCCCTATCACACCTCTCCCTGCCCTCACTCCCTGGCCTGCACAGCTGGGATTGGCCCTTCCACAAGGCTTCTGTGGTGGCACTGCTGCGACACCACAGTGCTGGCCTGTTTTACTCCCACCTGCAGGGGATACAGAGCACTTAATGGAGACAGAGAAAATGGGACGGGGGAAGAAAGCTGCCTCCGTAGCATGTGTGCAGTGATAAGAGAAAGTTAGCCTGTCATAATAGCATAGCACTGTGATACCACCATGATAGTGTCGAGAGAGAGCATGCGCACATATTGATGGACAGACAAAGACACCCACCCACCTACGCCAGAATGTATCCCTGCACTAGAAGGCCTAACAAGAGACAGCTTTCACAGCCCCTTCACTGACCCTGGGGCTTCTGCAGGTTAGTTTGGCTGCTCATGTAGATTAAGTCTTGTTCAACCCCTAAGCCTGCTCTACTTTGTACTCTTACTGCTATAACAACTATGGGTACAGTGGCAGCTGGAGACAGCTAAGACATAGAGGGGCCCTGGCCATGCCAGCCTCACTGCCCTGGCCATGCTCATGGCCAGCCTCTGGCATGTCCCCTACACAAAAGTGCAAGTGAAGGGCTGGTTATGCCAGCTTTGCACCTGGGAGAAAGGCCTCCCTCACTAGAGCATTCCCCGGAGTGGGGAGGGGCGGACCTTATGTCTGCTATGCAGCCACTTTGCCCCGCTTAGCTGGTGATGAAGGGGTTTCACAATGACAACAAATTTAGCCCAGTGATAACAAACAGAAAGAGTGAGAGATGAGCAAGGAAAGAGAAAGAGAGTACTACAGCTGGAAAGCATGTGCAAACGTTTGTTTGAATACATGCTTCCTCTTTCTAGTTTGGAATTTCTTTCTTGGCCTCTTTCTAGTTGTTTTTCATAAATATGTGGATGAGCGATTTCTATTGGCAGCAGAAAGTGACAATCTGGTGAATACTCATGCATGGCTTCCTATTGTCATCTTAAGAGTGCTTTGATTTCCCTCCTGAATAGAAATGTGTCTGCCATCCAATCAGAGAGGAAGGCACCAAATCATGTGGCTTAAGTGACCAATCACAAGAAAAACATTAACAAAACTTTTGTCAGCAATATCAGCCAAAACAAAGTTATGACTGGCCACCTCTCGACTGAAATATATCCATAAAAACCATTTGCTGAACAATTTGGACAAACCAACCAAAATGGAAAAATTAGAAGGTGTCTACAAACAGAAAAGTAGTCTAAATTTGTGATATATAAATTGTTCTTGTCTAAAGATTGCCTAGCTATAAAAAACACAAAGTATGAGAGAGAGATGGTAAACACACACATACCTGAATAATCTACCATATGTTTGAGACAGTTTGTCTGTGCCTCTGTCTGTCTGTTCAAGAACTTCTTTTAAACGGTAAGAGCTAGGACCATCAAATTCAGTACACAGCTTCTTCATATCACAACTTAAACCATGATAAGTGTATGTTTGTGCCAGATAAACAGGGTGTACCCAGCATGGGATTGCTTTTCAGAAAACCATACAGAAAAAAGTCAGAATCAGCAGGCATGTGAAAGGGTCTGGCTGGGGACACACCACCACCCCTGTCCAGGACTGCCCCAGCCCCAAGTTTCCAATGCCCCAGGAACCCTTTAGGAAGGGCCATGGAGAGATGCTTTTCTCCTGATCCCAAGCTGCTGCCGTGAGAGAGGACTGGGGTAGCCCTCTCTCCCCGGGGCAGCCTGCCTACTGACCCCCTCATCTCCAGCCCCACCCCAGAGCAATGGTTTAAATGATGAAAAGCAAAACTTGAATTAAGGACCTAAGCAACACTGGGTAAATTTTCTAGTCTGTCTATATACAAATTGAACCTCTCTAGTCCGGCACCCTTGGGACCTGACTGGTGCTGAACCAGAGAGTTTGCTGGACCATGGGAAGCCAATATTGTCTAGTAGCAGTACCAACACTTCCACTGCTTACTGGTCTCTCAGAGACAATTAGGGCTAAATTAGAGCTAAATACAGCACAGAACACTGAGAGCCAGAATTGGTGGCTATAAAAAAACTTTATGGGATCTCCAGAAATTTGGTCATACCCATGATAATTGGATATCTGGCTAACTAAAATCATGATAGACCACAGATGTTGCCAGGCCAGAGAGTGCCAGATTAGAGAGTTTCAACCTGTATTTTAGCAGTGTGTGTCTCTCTATCCATCTGTGAGTCTGTTTGTTCAAGCACTCCTAAAGTATAAGAACTAGGACCACCAGCTTTAATATGCAACTTCTTCTTATCCTAACTTAAAGCACGGTCAGGGTTTGGTTGTGCCAGGACAATGGGATGTGCCTAGAATTTGACTATTTCTCATAAAATGGAAAGGGATAGGTCTGGTAGAAGGGAGATATACTGCACGGTGTCTGCCATTTATAGGCCAGTCCTGGGGAATGCTAGTGGGTAGCCTGCATGGCCCATCTCCCCTGGGCTGGCTTCTATGTAGGGGATGTGGTGTCATTGTCTGCAAGGAGGTTTAACGGTAGTTCCAATTAGGAGCTTTAATTCGAACTACCTAGTCCGTGACGCGTGTAGCCACGGGCAGGTAGTTCGAACTACGGGACATTTAAAAATGGCAGCACCCGGGAACATGCAAATGAAGCCCAGAATATTTAAATCCCAGGCTTCATTTGCAAGTTTAAATGCCTGCATTAGCCAACCTAGTTCGAACTAGGGTGGCAGTGTAGACATCCCCTAATATATACACATCCATATAAACACAGGTGCACTAACAAACACACCCTCAAGCATAAACAGAGCAACTTAGACACACACAGAATCACGTGCAACCTCCATGGCCACTCAGCCTCACCCACAAACAAGCACACAGGGTCACAGACACCACAGACAATGACACCACATCCCCTGCATAGAACCCTTGGCTCCCAGAGTCTGTATGGAATTATAAGCAGACACACACCCAAGTAGTCAAACACCTGTTTTTCCCTCAATGTCCTCTACTTGTGCGCACATACATTAACACACTCACATGGAAAAAACAACATGAAGTCACACATGTATATGCAAATCCATTGTATCCGGCAATAACCTTCCCCACACATATATATATGTGTAATACTCTTGCACTTTCTCTTTCAACAGCCATACACAGGCAGCCACACAGACCTGGCACTGGCAATGCTGTGTGGGGAACCCAGGTCTGGAATAGCAGGGGCTGCAGGGCAGGGCTGAGGGGCACTGGCAGAGCTGTGTGAAGAGTCCCGGGCAGGAATAGCAGGGGTGAGGAGACTGCTCTTAAAGCTGAGGTGAATGGGAAGCAGCAGTTTGTGTTTTGGACTGAGTTATATTGGCAACTGTGTGCGGTTGCCCAGGACAAGAATAGCAAATAGATAAGTCTTATGTGATCATTGCTATGTACATACAATTTCCCTGGTGCTCTCTCCAGCCTACCTTAGAATAACTCAAGCCATGGGGTTTTCCCCACTTCCTTTGGGAATCTAGTCTAAGCTCTATTAGATTACTAGATATCACATTTAGGAAAAGTTTCCATGTATTCAACTTGAAATTTACCATTGTCCAATTTTATTTACTTTTAGCTTCTTCTCTCTCCTCGGTGTTTACACCCTTCAGATATTTGCAGACAGTTATCATGTTCCCTCTTAGTCATCATTTATCCTAGCTAGACATACTTAGTGCTTTTAATCTTCCCTTTTGCATCCATCCCTCCAGCTGCTTCTCAGGATCCTTTGCAATTTTCCTGGGTTTTTCTGGTACTGATATTTTTCCCTTTGCTGAAAAAGTGCAGTCACTGAACTAGTATCATCCAGAGAGGGACTATCTCTCACACACAGACCCACTCCCAGGCAAAGGCAGGAGACCTCTTTTTAGTTACACATCTCTTCTCTTATGACAGGATGGGGAGTCCCTAGCAAATCCCAGTTTTCCTAAGTACTAAGGATAGCAGATGCTCTAATTTTTAAGGCACTGGCCTACTCTTTCCTTCCACCCCTTCCTCCTTGTGCCCTTACACAATTCCAGAGGTCTGAAGAAACATCTAATAGCCTGGGTATATATCTGAGTTAGCTGAACCTGTCTCAGCTGCATTGAGTTAACACATTTAATGAGATTGTTGGTGTCTTCTTCTTCCAGTTGGGCAGTAACTGTTGTGTGAACAGCCCTTCACTGGGACTAGTGCAAACATTCCAGTGGATCCAGTCTGACCAACTTGAATCAACCAATTTTTCTAGTCATTCCAAATAGACTTTTTCACCTGGCTTCCCCTAGATTCCTCCTTCTTGTAAAACGTTTCCTTGGCCCCAACAAACACTTACACGCATGGTCCAAACAGTCTGTCCAGAGTAAACCAACCCTTCCTCTGAGTCCGTCCCCTGCCCCTGGGACTGACTCATTTTCCTCCACATCCTGATTTTTTGAGCCTCCTGTCAAATAGGAAGGGGAAGAGGCGGGGGGGAGGAGATGCCTGGGGGTCTGTGTGCTACTTCAACCGGGGCCACCAGTGTCCCTTTTCATCCTAATGTTCTGGTTGAAAACTGAACACCTGAGAACTCTACTTGTAAAAGGACTCTAAGCAGTCATGTTTGAGCATCAGATTCTAGTTCATAGCTTGGATGATGGACTGAACCTATGACAGTCCATCCTTGGTCAGTGTGTGATAATGGAACAAATATTGAGTGAGGCTGTGTCTACATTGGCACCCTTTTACGGAAAAGGGATGCTAATGAGACACTTCGGAATTGCAAATGCCGCGGGGGATTTAAATATCCCCCGCGGCATTTTCATGAACATGGCTGCTGCTTTTTTCCAGCTTGGGGCTTTGCTGGAGAAAAGCGCCAGTCTAGATGGGATCTTTCGGAAAATAAAGCCTTTTCCAGAAGATCCCT